GTTGAGTATCTATTAAGTTCCAAGTACTGATCCTGACAATTTACATACTTTATTTTTCCCTTTTATTTTAAAAGATTAAGTTTTTTTACACAGCATTATTTTAATTATACTCTGACTTTGCAACTGAAGCTTATAAAAATGAAAATTGAATCTAAAACTTGGATCTGCCTGGCAGCAAAATTTCACGACCACATTGTGTCTAAACGAGAGCACTGAAGGTCAAGAGTGTGATGTTTTAGGACATAAAACAGGTTTTGGCTTTGTTGCATTCTGGATGGCTTTTAGTAAGCTATTCCAAGTACAACTCTTTTTTATTTTTATTTTTGTATTTCTTTAAGTAGCCACGACCCTCTCAAGTGTCTCACACAGCTCAGGAGAATGTGCTGAGTTCGGACTAAAAAGAATAGAAACATGTACTAAACAAATGTTAAAAGGCTAAAAGTTCTTATAAGATTGTGTTTGTGATTTTATTGAACTTAAACATTAGAAATATGTAACTTGATAGACAGACTTGCCACAGCTGAGTTTACAGATTTGCAGTTATGGTCACCAAAAGGGCAGGAGTTACTTGAGATATTGTGTTGTTGAAAATGTTAAAAGCAATGTTTTTTATTTCTAAAACATTCCAAAATGCTTTAGGGAATTTCCAAAAAGGAAGGGTCAGATTTGTTGGGTTGAGAGTGTGGAAAGTGAGCATTAAAACAACAAAAAAAACTTTTTCACTATAGAGATGCTAGGCTCATTCTACATAAAAAAAACATTTTCTGTGTTCCAATTTTTAAATTTCTAGTGAATAAAGGTTTCAGACTACCTATACAAACAGAAGTGAGAATCTTCACAAGAGTTTAGTCTTCATTTCTAATAAGTGGTGTCAACACTAGTTAGTATTGACACATGGTATTGAGGAAAATAAAAGAATTTGAAGTGAGTTCCTCTTTTGCTCTATAGTTGGACTCTTTCTGGATCTCACAGCAAAGATTTTCTGGTGTCCGACCTGGAAGCAACTTGCTATGTTCAGAAGAAAATAACCTTTCTGGGCACTTGTATCAGAGCCTTGCTTTGTTTTCTGGGATAACTGATTTTTCATATCTTGCATATTATTGAAGGATGATGCCATAGGGATCTTTGTACAGCAGT